GCAGGTGAGGAATGAGAGCACTCCCTGGTCTTACTGCCCCAAACCAGGAGGCACTTCTTTATGGCAAAGCCCCCTTGAATGGGGATTATGGCTGAAGCCCTCTGTCCTCCCCTAGGCTGACCTTCAGATGGCTCCTTGAGGAACAGCTCTGTCTGGGGCATGGCCCAACTTCTCTCCCAGCCCAGCCCTGCTGGGCCTCTGAGACCTCATCCTCACCCTGCAGCTTCCACTGGAAAATTAGGAAGCTGGGCAACCAGAAGTACACATCACTTGTCCTTGTTTCCTCAAGAAGCCCTTCACCTTCCAGACCTTGCCAGGAAGCTGGCGGCATTTTCATGAAGCAGTAATAACAAGAACAGAGCGTTCTAGCCTGCTGGAGCCTGCTGGCTGGTCACTCTTTCCACTGCCTTTTGTTTTCATGCAGCCTTCCCTCACTTGCTTCTCAGATTCCTCAGGGCTTTGAAAAAGCCACAAGTGCTCCATACAGTGACACCACCCAGCGGGCTGGCAGACGTCGCTGACACGCACCCTGCCCTAAGCAATGGCACGCAGGCAAGTCCCAACTACTGGCACCCAGCCATGCACCTAGGAAGAGGCATGACAGCTCCCAGAAAGCCAGCATTGTCCCCCATCAGCCCAGCTGGCAAAGGTGGGACTTTAGATTAAGTACCAGCCAGTGGACTGGTCAATCACATACCCCTGTTTGATTCAAAACGCATCTGCAAGGTATGTTAGGCGGTTGGTACTTCTCTACCTATCTTCAAGGATCTAAATGCAGCCAACATAGATGTTACCAACAAAGTGCTAGGGCACTTTCACCATACCAACTCACATACCAATGTATTAGATTGTGTATACATACATATGAGCTGATGATCTCAATGATATGAATTCATTCATAATCCCCATTCATTTGTGTTTCAGTATCACCTGTGGCCTGTTTCAAACCACACTCCAGAGCTACCCTAACAGGATCTATGAAAATAGGACCCAGATATGTATATTTTTTAAAAAACTTGACAGTGTTGGTTAGAATATAGGATGAGAGAAATTCTCACATATCATTGATGGGAGTAAAAAGTAGTTCAGCTACTGCGGAGAGTAGAGAGCAATCTAGTAAAGTTGAGAATGTGCACATTCTATTCCCTAACAATTTCTGTTCTAGATATATTCCCCAGCAGAACTCTCAAACATGCGCCCAAGGAAGCATACACCAGAATATTAATTACATCATGATTTGAAATAGCAAAGAACTAGACATATCAAATATCCATCCATAGAATAGATTCTAGAATATTTATGCTATTGGTCTATTGCAGTACTATATAGTATACTATTACTATATTATAGAATGGACTAGCTCTACAAGTGTCACATGGATAAATCTTAAAAACATGATGTTGAAAAAAAAAGTTTCAGAAAAATACGTACACTATTTATATACATGTTCAAACATCCAAAACATATTGTCTAGTAAAAATATAAAAGCATATGTGGGAAGGATTTCCACCATCTTCAAGAGATTGGTTATCTCTGAGGAAAGATGGGATGGAAGGGCTTTTTTTTGTAACTAAAATGTTTTACCAACAGTCCCCTACATATGAACGAGTTCCGTTTCAAGAGCGTGTTTGTAAGTCCAATTTGTTTGTAAACCCAACAAAGTTAGCCTAGGTACTCAACTAATACAATCGGCTATATAGTACTGTACTGTCATAGGTTTATAATACTTTTCACACAAATAATGCATTAAAAAACCACAAAAAATATAGAAAACATTTTTAACCTTATAGTACAGTACCTTGAAAAGTACAGTAGTATAGTACAACAGCTGGCACACGGGCTGGCATCGAGTGAACAGGCAAGGAGACTTACTGACTGGAGGAGGGAGAGGAGGGGGGAGATGGCAGAGCTGAAGGATCGTCAGCAATAGGAGACGGAGGGCAAGCTGCAATTTCACTCACTCCTGATGTTGATGGCACAGGTTCTGGTTCCTTGCTGGATTCAATTCTTTCTACTCTCTTGAAAAAACAATCCAGTGATGTCTGGGTCGTAGCGCTTTTTTTCTCATCATAGATGACATGGTAGCACTGGATTGCATTCTGAACGGCTGCTTCAACCTTCTTGTCCCGTTCTACATTCCAGTCCTGTGCCTCAAAAATTAACATTGTCTCCTCAAATAAAGACCCTTGCCATTTCCTGCGCCATGAATCTCTTCAGTTCTTCAGTTACTTCTTCTTCCTCTTGTCTCTCTTCATCCTTTCTCTGGGCCTCCAATTTCTGACGCTTCTTAGCAGTACGAGCTACATCACTGCTGCTTTTACGCTTGCTCCCGGACATCCTGGGCTTGAAATAAAGATATTGTACTACTGTACACTATACAATACTGTACAGTAAAGTACACAGAAGCGCAACCACTTGTAGAGGATAGACACACATGACAATGTACGCCAGACATGTGAACTAACTTACGTGATCGGACATGTGAATGCGTGATCGCGTCTTTGAAAGTTCGCAACTTGAAGGTTCGTATGTAGGGGACTTACTGTATTTATAGTTTAATTTAAGCAAATATGGCAAGTTGTTATAATTTATTAAATCTGGATAGTGCATATATGTTCCACTGGTAACTCAGAGGGTCATCCATAGCAGAAGGATCTCTTGAGATTTTTAGGGTTACTGAAATTAAAAGTTTGTTTATGGGAATGGCTCATTATCAGTGAGCCTTCAGATCCTTTCTACTCTGTTTTTTCCGGACCTCTCCAACTTTTAATTGTCTCTCTACTCCCTGAACTTTGCTAGAGCTCTAATTATTTGTAGTGTTCACTTGGTAATTCTGTACTTTCCTGTACGTTGCTGAAACAGGCTATTATTCACTCAGTAGTTTTATGTCTTATTTCTTGAATTAGGCTATAAGCTTCTTCAGAACAGGAACCATATCTTGTTCATTTTTGTATTTTCTATACTATCTAACACACAGAGTAAGCAGTAAAGCATCGTGATTAAGAAAATAAGATAAAACGAGTTCAGAAATGTGGCAGGATATAAGAGCAATATACAAAAATCAGTTGTATTTCTATACACTAGCAATGAAAATTCAGAAAATGAAATTCAAGGCAATCCTATCCAGATCCTATCACTCTTTCTATCTTTCTTTTTTGCATAAATTGACAAGCTGATGCTACATTTTATATGGAAATGTAACCCAGAATAACCAAAACACTTTTGAAGAGGAAGAACAAATTTGGAAGATGCTCATTTCCTGATTTCATAATCTACAATGAAACTACAATAATCAAGGTCTAAGGCATAAGGATACATGTTTAGACCACTGGAATAGAATTGAGTGTCCAGAAGTAAACCCTCATGTATATGGTCAGTTGATTTTTTGACAAGGGACCCAAGACAATTCAATAGGGAAAGAGTAGTTTTTTCAATAAATGGTGCTGAGACAACTGGCTATCCACATGCAAAAGAATGAAGTTGGGCTACACCTTACACCATACAAATAAATTAACTCAAAATGGATCATAGACCTAAATTAAGAGCTAAACTACAAAACTCCTAGGAGAAAACATAGTAAATGTTTATGACCTTGGATATGGCAATGGTTTCTTAGATGTGTTGCCAAAAGCAGATGTGACAAAAGAAAAACATAGATAAATTGAACTTTAAAAACTTCTGGGGCTTCCCTGGTGGCACACTGGTTGAGAGTCCGCCTGCCGATGCAGGGGACACGGGTTCGTGCCCCAGTCCAGGAATATCCCACATGTCGCGGAGCGGCTGGGCCCTTGGGCCGTGGCCGCTGAGCCTGCGCGTCCGGAGCCTGTGCTCTGCAACGGGAGAGGCCACAGCGGTGAGAGGCCCGCGTACCGCAAAAAAAAAAAAAAAAAAATTAAAAACTTTTGTGCTTCACAGGACACCATCAAGAAAGTAAGAAGACTACCCACAGAATTGGAGAAAATCTTTGCAAATTGTATATTGACAAGGAACTTATATCCAGAATATATAAAAAGATATTACGACTCAATAATAAAATGACAGCACAGTTAAATCATGGGCAAGGAATTTGAATAAACATTCCTCAAAAAAAATTGTACAAATTGCCAATATGCACAAGAAGAGATACTCAACATCACTAGTCATTAGGGAAATGCAAGTCAAAGCCACGATGAGATACCTCTTCATACCCACAAGGATGGCTATAATAAAAACAGACAATAACAGGTGTTGGTAAGGATATAGAGAAATTGGAACGCTCATATATTGTTGGTGGGCATGTAAAATGACGCATGTAAAACTTTGGAAAATAGTTTGTTAGTTTCTCAAAATTCTAAACATGGAATTACCATAATACTCATCAATTCCACTCCTAGGCATCTACTCAAGAGAAATGAAAACATACCTCCACACAAAAGCTTATAGATGAACATTCATAGCAGTATTATTTACAGTGGTTAAAAGTGAGACAACCCATGTCCATAAGTTGATGAATGGATAAACAAAATGTGGTATATCCATACAATGGAATATTTTCAGCCATGAAAAAGAATGAAGTACTGATGTACGCTACAACATGGATGAACCTTGAAAACATTATGCTAAGTGAAAGAAGCTGTTCATGAAAGACTATATATTGTAGATAAGGTCTTTAAAGAGGTTAAGTTAAAATGAGGTCTTTAAGGTGGGCCCTAATTCAACATACCCAGCGAGACACCAGGATCAGCCATGCCCAGAGAAAAGAACATCTGAGGACACAGCAAGAAGGCAGCCACATGCATGCTAAGGAGAGAGGCCTCAGAGAAACCAGACCTGCTGACACCTTGATCTTGGACTTTTAGCCTCCAGCACTGTGAGAAAATAAATTTCTGTTGTTTAAACCACCCAGTCTGTGGTATTTTGTTATGGCAGCCATAGCAAAATAATACAGTGGTTCTTTTGAGTGTGTAACAATGATGTGTTGTATAAGAAAGGCCTATGCTTTGAATTATTATATTTTGCAGGGTGGCATCTTCTGATCAATCATGTCATCAATTGCTAGAAATATGAGAACTCTCCAGAAGATCAAGTACCGTGTAGTAGTTACCATGCACAGGCCCCATAGAGCCCTGGCCTTGGAGAATGCCCTATTCACCAACCCAAAAGAAGGTAAACATTTAGAAGATTCCTCCAGACCCACGGGATTTTCATAAATTGGTAGAGATTGATCCAGATGTGCTTAAAACCAGGGTAAATGTCATTTTAAATGATGTTAATTACTGAGAACTTTTAATAACATGGGGAAGTGATTATATTATAATATTAAGTTAAAAATTCTGCATGCAAATTTAACAAGTATAGATAAAATCACCTTATCTGTATAACGATATGCATAGAAGAAAGACTGAATAGAAATATAGCTAAAGTTAATATTAGTTTTTCTTTGTGATGAGATTTGGGGTTATTTTTGGTTTTTTCTTTATATCTCTCTGTATTTCTGAATTTTCCAAAGTGAGCATGTATTAGTTTTATAATCACAAGATATGCTTATATTTTAAAGATTAAAAATTGAGGTAGGGCTTCCCTGGTGGCGCAGTGGTTGAGAGTCCGCCTGCCGATGCAGGGGTCACGGGTTTGTGCCCTGGTCCGGGAAGATCCCAAATGCCGCAGAGCGGCTGGGCCCGTGAGCCATGGCTGCTGAGCCTGTGCGTCCGGAGCCTGTGCTCCGCAATGGGAGAGGCCACAACAGTGAGAGGCCCATGTACCACAAAAAAAAAAACAAAAAAAATTGAGGTAGAGGGTATATAACCCAATGCTAGGATTGAGAGTCATCTCCAGGAGATGTGGTTCTAGGACTCAGAGGTCAGATATGTTGGAACCCTGATGCCTACTTGTCCTCTTGGGATCTGGCCATAGTGTGTTGCCCTACCCCTAGAAATTCTGATTATGCTCCTGCAGTGCCTTCCTGTCTAGTTCAGGTCTCTGAACACTGATCCTCCCTCCCTTCAGACCTCTAACTCCTGACTCTGAACTTAGACTTTTCTTTCTGGATTTATGTGGCCACCCCTCTTTCTCTACTCATGACTCAACACAACCCCTCCCTCCCTCTCCCACACCTTTCTCCCAACCTTTTGTATTCTGAGGCTACCCACAGTACTGACAGCTGTGTCCTTCATGAGCGGGGTGGCTAAAAAGTAGCGGCACAAAATGAGAGGAGGGGGACAAGAGAAGGGAAATGCTGAGGGAGATGCTTCTGAGGTTTCCTTCTTTGTGGGCATTTGGCACTTCTGGCTTCTGTCTACTTCTCTTATTCCTCTGCCTTAGTGGAGGGGCTTAATCTGCTTTGAGAATTGAGAAGTACACAGGGCAGGCTCAGCTTAGCTCCTTCTTTCTTCCACTTAGGTATCACCTGCCCACAGTGAGGGTGTCACCTTGGTCTGCTCCTCTGGGAGCAGGGTCCCCTTCCTACTCCCACTCCTCCCAGCGTGAGAAGTCCTGTCCTGGTCAAATGTTACTTGTGACTGGGTGAACAAGTCAACCTAATTCTGAAACTCATTTAGTATTTAGTATCTCTCACAATAAACAGACTTTATCAGCAATCAACGTGGTATTTCGGTCTGCATCTGCTCACTCTTTTGTTTCATTTCACATCTTGACCAGAAACCAGGATAGGGATTGAGGAAAAGAATAGGAACTTCTCAGAGACCTGAAAAGGAAATAACACTTGTTAAGAGCCAACTGTGTGCCCAGCACCAAGACAGAAGCTTTATGTATGTTCATTCATTTAATCCCTACAACCACCTTCATAGTTTGCATTATTTTCCCATTTCACATAAAAGGAAACTGAGGCTCAGAGATGTTAAGAACTTGCCCAAAGTCTCACCGTTAGAGAGTGGCTGATGTCTCTTTGACTTCAAAGCCCAAGCACTTTCCACTGCATTAGACGTTGTCTTTGGGAGCCACCAAGGCACTCCTCAGGGACCGAGGCAGCAGTCTCATCTTTGTTAATACTTCATCCCAACCATCTGCGCTATCAACTGAGCAGCATGCAAGGGAGAAAACCAGGATACATCCAAAGGATGAGGAGTGAGGAGATTATAAAATGCTAGACAAAAAAACATCAAGAAATGTATTTTTCCCCAGATTTCTTGGGGACTTTTGGATAAATGACCTCCCCTGCCCCCCAACCTGTGCTCTGGCTTCCTCAGTTGTAAAATAATTCAATATTACCCAGTCCTCCTTAAGTCAGGCCACATGTCATGCTTTCCTGAGACTGGCCTCAGCACAGTTGTCCTTTTGCCCCCACTTGCTATTAAAAAGCAAATGTATGTCATATGGCTCTGGGTGGCACAAGGAGTAAAAATAATGATAATGAATAATGAATCAGCTTAACAATATATGAAAACCAGAGGTAACGAACTGATGAACAGAAAATGATATTAAAGTGCCAGCCGTAGGGGCTGACCTTTTAAAGAGACAAGCTGACGAAGATGTTTTGATGTGACCCCTGAAGGACAGTCAGCTGGCTGGCTAAACCAGAGTCACTGAGAGGGCCAACAACTCCCCAGATGCCTAGGGACCAGGAACATTTCCAGGAGCTCAAACCACTGCTACCTTCTTCTCCTCCTCCCTGCAAAAAGCTCAGAAAGTGCAAGGGCACCCTACAGGCCACTAAGCACATTCCCAATTGTCCTCTAGGGAAATCTGATGCTGAAAAATGGACCTTGTCCAAAATAGTGGTTCAAGCCAGATAAGGAATTACAGAGAAGACAACCTTCCATGGTAAATACCCTGCCTCCAAATCCCCAATGTCTTCATTAGGGAACTGAAAACACAGGCACACCAGCTGGTCTCAACTGCTTTGAAGCACTGTGGCACAGTGGAAAGAGCAATGCTGTAGGGCTGGCAATAAGAGACTAGGCTTCTAGTCCCCAGCTCTGCCCAATTTTAGCTGGGTGACCTTGGCAAAGGTACTTAACTTCTCTGGACCTCACTTTCCTCATTTGTTAAATGAGGTTTGACTAAACCATGATGTCTTCTGGTTCTGAAATCCTATCTTTCATCTTTGGATTCACATCTTACATTTAAAGAAAATTAAAGCAGCTTCTTGGGTGTTGTGTTTCTCAGAGATCTTGCCTCTCACCTTTTAAATGTTCTTCATTGGCTTTCCTATCACAAGATTAAACCTGAATTCTTCAGCGTGACATTCAAGGTTCTTTGAGATCAACCCATGCCTATCTATTGTGCCACCCTCCTCTCACTCCCACCAATCATGTATTTTATACTCTGGCTATAATGGACTATTTGTACTCCCCCATAACACTTTTCCTGCAATTTCAAATACTTACTGAGTATGTACTCTGTGCTAGACCTTACATCAGTAAGCCTTTGCACATAATGTTCACTTTGCTTGAACTGCCTTATATTAATTAAGGTAGAGCTCACTCTTGTAACAAGCGAGTTATATAATATCAGTACATTAAAGCGCTAGAATGTTATTTCTTAGTCATATAACAGATCAGTCTGGCAAGCTGCCTTCCACCCAGGGTCCTTCTATTTTGCAGCTCTGCCATTCTCTAAGCTTTAGAGTCCTTTATTTCCAGAGCTAACAGCTGGGAAAGAGAAGGAAGAAAAGGCACACCTACTTCTTTTTTTTGGCTGCGTTGGGTCTTCGTTGCTATGTGCAGGCTTTCTCTAGTTGCGGTGAGCGGGGTCTACTCTTCATTGCAGTGCACAGGCTTCTCATTGTGGTGGCTTCTCTTGTTGTGGAGCACGGGCTCTCAGTGTGTGAGCTTCAGTAGTTGTGGCTCGCGGGCTCTAGAGCGCAGGCTCAGTAGTTGTGGTGCACAGGCTTAGTTGCTTTGCAGCTAAGATGTGGGATCTTCCAGGACCAGGGCTCGAACCCGTGCCCCCTGCATTGGCAGGCGGATTCTTAACCAGTGCACCACCAGGGAAGTCAAAGGCATACCTACTTCTTAACCTGGTCTAGAAATGATGTGCATCACTTCTGCTCACATCCCATTAATGAGAACGGATCACCTAGTTCCACCTAGATGTATAGGGGATTGGAAATTGGTTGGGCCAATTCCCAGAAAAAGTTGATGCTATGGAAGGAGAGCATGAGTCTCTGATGGTCAACTAGCCATCTCATGCCCTTCCTTGATTTGTCTTCTTAGCAAAGTCTTATTCACCCTTAAACCTCAGTCCAAGTGCTACCTCCTTTGTGAAGTCTTCTCTGACCTATGTAGGCAGATCTAGGTCCTCCTCTTCCTATGCCTCACTGCACTTTTCCCATTTCCCCATTATGACAATTAACATAATGTACTCTGTGGTTTATTTCACAGTGGGGTCGGTGAGACTTGAGGGCAAGGATATTGTTTTTTCTTTTTTTTTTTTTTTTTTTTTTTTGCGGTACGCGGGCCTCTCACTGCTGTGGCCTCTCCCGTTGCGGAGCACAGGCTCCGGACGCGCAGGCTCAGCGGCCATGGCGCACGGGCCCAGCCGCTCCGCGGCATGTGGGATCTTCCCGGACCGGGGCACGAACCCACGTCCCCTGCATCGGCAGGCGGACTCTCAACCACTGCGCCACCAGGGAAGCCCATCTTTTCATTTTTGTATTTGGAAATCTTAGCATAGTACCTGGTAAATAGTAGTTTTACAATAATATTTAATGAATTGATGAATATTATCAGTGAATGAATGACTGTTACCCTAAGGAAAATAAGCGGGTTTTTACAGAGGAACAAAGACTTCAGTTTTAAAAAAAAACAAACAAAAATTATTGGTGATTCAAGATTATCCATAATGCTAAAAGGAAAATAAGCTTTCCATACAAATGTTACAATTATAATTAATATTTTGCATTATTATTTACTTAGAGTCTGTCTCTTGCATAAGCTCCGTGCGAGTAGGGACCTTATACATATTGTTCTTTGGTCTGACTCCAGCATCTAGCACACTATCTGGCACACAGTAGGTACTCAGTAATTATTTCAGAAAGAATGAATGGATAAATAAATGAATGAAGACTGCACCCTTAATCCCATGAGCCATATAATAAGTGCATGTCTTACATTGCAAGAGGAAAGTGTCGATGGGGTGGTGAAAACTTACACTACAACTAGAAAAGCAGAACAGAATCAGGACTTTACCATCATTACCTTGTACAATCTATGTCATCATCCTCTTTATATAAAAAGATAGGGCTTCCCTGGTGGCGCAGTGGTTGAGAGTCCACCTGCCGATGCAGGGGACACGGGTTCGTGTCACGGTCTGGGAAGATCCCACATGCCGCAGAGCGGCTGGGCCCGTGAGCCATGGCCGCTGAGCCTGCGCGTCCGGAGCCTGTGCTCCGCAACGGGAGAGGCCACAACAGTGAGAGGTCCACATACCGCGCAAAAAAAAAATAACTAAAGATGAACAGGTCTTCCCTGGTGGCGCAGTGGTTAAGAATCCGCCTGCCAATGCAGGGGACACGGGTTCGAGCCCTGGTCTGGGAAGATCCCACATGCTGCGGAGCAACTAAGCCCGTGTGCCACAACTACTGAGCCTGTGCTCTAGAGCCTGCAAACCACAACTACAGAAGCCCGTACACCTAGAGCCTGTGCTCCGCAACAAGAGAAGCCACTGCAATGGGTAGCCTGCGCACCACAACGAAGAGTAGCCCCCGCTCACTGCAACTAGAGAAAGCCCGCATGCAGCAACGAAGACCCAACACAGCCAAAACTAAAAATAAAATAAAATAAAATAAATAAATTTATTTTTTTTAAAAAAAGATGAACAAACATTATTGGAGGAAACTAAAATCTCAACGGCAATAGTTGCCTGTGAGTAAATGAGGAGAAATGGATGTCTCCAAAATGGTTGCACTATGAAATAGCCTTTGTAAATTGGTTAATGAGAGAAGCAGGAAGCAAGAGTGCAGACAATTACAGAGTTGTGACAACTGAAAAATACACTGATTGAGAAGAGACAAAAACATGTTTTTTATAGTTTTTGAAGAGGTATGGAGACACTTTTTCAAATGTTTATAACACATTTATTCTCCTCATAGGTCCCATGTGACAAAGTTTGGATTAGACATTACAAATGGCTTCCAATGGACTACTTGCCAGACTTTGTCATGGGAACCATCTGACGAGCAGAACAAAGTGCAAGTGCATAAGCAACTTCCAATGAGAACCTCTGTATGGGCTTGGCCCAGGTATCTTGAAACCCTGGGAAGACCTAAATATAAACAAGTAAGTTTGCAGTGTGGACTGATTTGTGGTGGTACCAAGGTTGATGCTGATCTTGACAGGTGGACTTTTTCTAGGAACTGACCAAGATGTTAATGGTAGGTATAGGCCTTAAGTGACCTAAAAATAGGACGGTACACTTATTTTGCAGACCTTTGATGATATACAAGCATGGAACCATTGGCCTGCCCTGAGGAGCTGTCTGTCTCCCCTTGTGGTAGAAACTGCTATGAGCTCAGCACACAGCTAGACTAAACTTCCTAGCCTCTCTTGAAGTTGGGCAGATCCATGTGCCAGAGTTCTGGCTAATAGGATGTGGATGGAAGTGATGGGTGCCAGTTCCAGGTCTGGTGCATGAAAAGCCTTCTGTGCAATACACGGCAGGCTCTTTCCCCACCCACTGGCTGAATGGAGAGGATTCTGAAAACCTAGAGGAAGCTAGAGCATGTCTTGGAAGAAGACCGTGAAATACTGCATAGGATTGACCTCCACATTCCATACCTCCCCACCCCTCCCAATCTATATCGTACTATGACAAGAGTGATATATTTTTATTGGGCCAAACCATTATATTGAAGTCATTTGTTATAACAATTAGCCTATCTTGACTAACACAACCCTATTTCCCAACTTTTTTCCTGGTCACAAGTAGGAAGAGAGACTAGGGTGAATTTCGGGAGTCTCAGTCCACAGCTACAGAGGATCAAGACAAAAGAAGGTATCAGAGACAAAGCTCAGCATCAGGGAATATCACATTTAGTGGGATTCTGGAGTTAATTTTAAAACTTAGACATTCCCACAGAGCTGAAGCCATGCACGTGAGCCTCTGCTTATCTAACCAGTCCCTTCTGGACGTTTTCAAACTCTTGGGAGAACAGTGAATAACCATTTCCCGACCATAGTTAACATATGAACCCCCAATATAGTCTGTTTGATTTTATATGCTTAGGGTCTAGTCAGATAATACCACATTTAAAACCTGTTTTACTTTTGCTTTTTGCTAAACATAGTAATTAAGAAGAAGAAGAAAAAATCAATTAGTAACCGTGTTTGAAGGTGTATATATATATATATATATATATATTTTTTTTTTTTTTTTTGCGGTACGTGGGTCTCTCACTGTTGTGGCCTCTCCCATTGCGGAGCACAGGCTCCGGACGTGCAGGCTCAGCGGCCATGGCTCACGGGCCCAGCCACTCTGTGGCATGTGGGATCTTCCCAGACCGGGGCTCGAACCCGTGTCCCCTGCATCGGCAGGCGGACTCTCAACCACTGCGCCACCAGGGAAGCCCGAAGGTATATTTCTTATGTGATTATGCAAGGTTTGGTTGAGCCCAATACTAATGGACAATTATGGGGGAGCCAACCAAGCACTGGGGCAAAAAATGAGGTCTTTTCGTGCTTGCCTGAAGATGTTATTGGGAGACTTTTGTTTACTTATCAGACTTTGGAAATTAAATCCTTCTTCAAGTAGCCTCGGGTCTTAAGGACAATAAGTAAAGATGTGCTGACTGAAAACATTTTAAAAAACAACTTGTTATAGCTTTTAAAATAACAAGGGATAAATTCAGCTTAAACCAGGGTATTCCAAAGTCATTTGGCCTGCTCAACAGAAACACCAAGCTTAAAAGCTGGATTCTATAGTTCATCTTTGTGCAGATGCTGTACCAAGTGAAACTTAGCAGGGGCCTGGGACAAGAGTCTTAGAAAATGCTAGATAGCTTCTACCTGTAAACCGAATCCCATTATAGGAAAGAGGCAATTGATCTCCCTATCCTGGGAGTGCAGAGAGAGAGGGATGAACTGGGAGAGAGTTAGGGCCCAGGGGGATGAAGAAGTAAGAGATTTAGGAGAGTGTCTCATTTTTTGTAAGAGTCCCTTAGGGCTGAGATGAAAGAATCGGTCTTGGGATAGTACTTTTCTTTTCAAGAAATATATTCTACTGCCCTATTTTCAAGGGGTGCAAACTAAGCTATGATGATCCTCATCTCTTCCTGAAACTTCATCTTTTATCCATCTTCCCAAGGCGCTCCATTCCTTTGTCTTCCCACCTAAAACCCCTGGCTACAGTGAGATAGCCATGAGCAGACCTGGTACTTCTTGAAGCTCATCACCAGAGCTATGTCAAAATCACGTAGGAATCCAGCAGACAAACAGGTGGGCTTAAGGAAATGTTGCTAAGGTATGGTTAGGCAACTGAGTATCCCCCTCAAGACAGGATCTGTTGATTAACACAAAGGATGTGCGACCTCCTTGTATATTCCCTAATCAGAGCCCTCAGGACTTGGCAGGAGTTCTTAAGGGATCTGTGTGGCCATGTAGAACTATGTTATATGAGTGCTTCCCAGCCTCTTCTGTCAGTGATCTCATTTTTTCCCCCAAAGCTATATACTTTGAAAGATTTTTAACTACTAAATAAATCACATTTATAAAGAAAATATATTAACTTTTTATTAGGTACCAGGAATTGCATTAATGAGTGCTTTACATAGATCATCTAAAATCCTCAAAGAGTCTGAAAAATAGAAATGAATAGCCCCATTTTACAGATGAGTAAACTGAGGTTCAGAGATGTTAAATAAATAGCTCAAGTCTTATTGCTAGAAACTCAAATTTTTTTTGGCCATACTGCACGGCTTGTGGGATCTCAGTTCCCTGACCAGGGACTGAACCTGGGCCATGACAATGAAAGCCTGGAATCCTAACCACTAGGCCACCAGGGAACTCCCTAGAGACTAAACTCTGATTGGTCTTACCTCCATACCCACATTCTTTCCAACAGACTTTCTCTACCCTATAGACAACACACACAACCAACCAGAACTTCTTACTGTGAAGATACAGTCTTTACAATGAGTTAGTGTGGCATAATCTCCCCCATCTTCCAACCCCCTGCTCCCCACAAGAATAAAGAAGCTTTGCATTACTTAGTCAATCTGTTCAGGCTTTATTGTGAATAAATACACAATGTCCTTAGACTTCCCTGGTGGTCCAGTGGTTAAGAATCCACCTTCCAATGCAGGGGATGTGGGTTTGATCCCTGGTGGGGGAACTAAGATCCCACATGCTGTGGGGCAACTAAGCCCACAGGCCACAATTACTGAGCCCTCACACTCTGGAGCCCGTGGGCCACAACTAAAGAGCCCACACACCACAATGAAGACCCAGCGTAGCCAAATATAAATAAATTTTTTTAAAAAGTATATATATATATACATATATGTATATATATATATGTGTATTTTATATATATATATATATATATATATATATATATATATATATATATATATATATGTCTTCTAGGCTTTTTTGAAGTATTGGACATGGTTCAAGTAATTTCATTACTATCCTTATAGAGCTCTGAGATCCCAGAAAACCAGAATGGAAACTGGAGCTGGCAGTTCAAAACAAATGGAAATTGGACAGAGGGAGTTCAGAACACAGATCCAGGCACAGACCTCCTCTTCTGGGATTCTCCTACCCCTTTGATTCTATTGAGTATTCAGTGACATACCACTGGCTGGTGTGAAGCAGGGAATCCTTCGGGAACACAAAATTTGGTGGGAACAGGGGAGTCATTAAAGTATGCCGATCTAGAATGAGTGGCAAAAGAAGGGAAGAAAAAAGAAGAATGAGTGAAGAGGGAGAGGGACATGGAGAGAGGCAGAAGGAGGAGGAGGAAGGAAGAGAAAAGAAGTAAAGAAGGGAGGATATGTATAAAGAGGAGGCAAAAAAAGAAGGGAAAGGGAAAAGAATGGATGACCGTTTACATTGTCTTTTCTTGTAGCTAGTGGTGACGTCTTCACCACCAAATATAGTAACCCCCAATGGAGGTAATAGGCAAGGGTTGCTAGGTCCACCAGCAGTGCTATTGTGGAAGAACTATTTCCTCAAAGGGACCTTTACCACCTCCCCTACCCAACTGGTAACTTGGAAGCCAGAATCTTTGAAAATTACAGTATAAATGGAGAAAAAGGATATTACTAATTCCAGTAGTAAAATGAAAACTGTTAGTCCAGTATCCTAAGGTTAAGTTCTGTCCTGCTATGCAGAAAATTCACAACAACTCCCTTGTCTTTGTGATAGCTTAAAAACAAAATAACAAAAACAAACATGAAAAACAAACAAGCAATAATAACAAAAAAAAAACCCCTCTGGGTATCCAGAAATACAAGGCAACCTTGAGCAAAGTTTAACTGACTTGGGTACTTAATTGCTGTAAAATGAGAGTGTCTATTTGGAGATTTAAAAAATAACTCATTTTCCTTAGAAACCCAAATTCTTATTTTTAATAATGAAATCCTTTAACCTAGTTGCTTATATTTTCAATGGATTATTTAGTTTACTGTAGCTAAAAGATAAGAGTTAAACATCAACCAAAGAGAATAGATGCATACTTTTTCCTCACTCTAGAATTTAAACAGTACTCAAGAAACATCTAAAGATCCGTCTATTCTGCATCCAAAGAAAATGCTCTTCCTTAATTTTTTACTCTAGAGTTTAAAGTGGGTTTTTTTTTTTTGGCGGGGGGCGGGGGAGAATAGAAGGTGAAGGGAGAGTTATTTTAAAATGCCATAAAAAAAAAAAATGCCATAAAAGAGTCTTCCGTATTTGAACTCCCAAAATGTTCTGACTGTCTTTAAGAAGTGTTAGCAAAAAGATCTGTCTATTCATAGTTAAATTCTGGCTAATGACTAGTTGCAGAGTACCTTCTTCTGGGCCCAGTCTCTGCTAGACTTCATATTCCAGAACGTTCTGCCCTGATTGACCTCCCTCAGAGATAAACATGAACTCCTGCATCTACTCCCTAAAGAGGACAAAGCCTCAGTCTTAATCCTCTTATCCTTTACACAGGATAAATGCTGTCTCCTAGGTGCCAGGCAACAACTCAGAGCCCCTTTATCTGAACATTCAAAGTAGGGATAATCATTTTAAAACAGTGCAAGTAGTCAAGTTCCCATTTAAAAAAACCATTTTTAAATAGGCTGTCATCACCTTCACCCAGTGATCAGTATTACTCACTTCATTAGTAGTGAGACAACCAGACATTACGTAGGACCTAATACGAGGCAGTAGGAAGTATACGGCATTACCCTATAAAGAATTCTTACCAAAATGTTTAACCTGATTCCTATCAAGCCTTGATCTAACTTTGAGCTTACAAGAAATACAGAGGACAGAAGAACAAGTTTAACAACACCATGAGAAAACAGACAAATCCCGCAGGTGGGACATTCTGCAGAACAATTAGCCCAGAATCGTCAAAAAGTCAATGTCAATGGGGGGTGGGGAGGTTGGGAGGTGGTGGGATGAACTGGGTGATTGGGATTGACATATATACACTAATATGTACAAAATATATAACTAATGAGAACCTGCTGTATAAAAAATAAATAAAATTCAAAAATCCAAAAAAAAAAAGATTACTTAGAGATAATGGAGATAAATCCAAAATACAGTCAGCTAAAAGAGTTGAAAATGGATGCCTCTGCAAAAGTGGAAATGGGGGAACAGGTAGTGCACTGCCTTCTGTTTTCATAGAAAACCTTATAATACTTGTTATTTCTTTAAACCATGCATATGTATAACTTTTGTTTTTAAAAGAATATAAGTTTCCTGATGGCAGGGACCATGAGAGTCTTGTTCTATTAAAATCCCCTGTGCTCCACCTGAAGTAGGTGTTCAAAAAGTATTTGTTATTCAAGTAACTGAAGTCACTGTTCTTGAAGCTCTAAATGGCTCCTTGTAAGGCACAGCATTAAGATCACAATGCTCGTGATGCCTCCAGGGACTGCAGGCAGGGTCTGGCCCCTGCAAACTCCTCTCCCTGACTCTTCCTCTAGTGCCTCTTTCAGGTGCTCTCATGCACATTGTTCCTTCCTGCCTCAGGAAGTTTGCACATGCTGTTCCTTCTACCTAAAAAAGCTCTTCACCACCATCACCTAGTTCTCTCCATAAATCGGTTAGACTTCAGCTCAGATGTCACTTCCTCCAGGGGATCCTCCCTGTCTCCTGTCTCCCTCTCTTCACCAGCCTGATGGGGCCATGGTAGGCCTATCCCAGGATCCCCAAGGACCTTGTAGGTTATGTTAAGGCATTTACTCTTCTATCTAGAAGAGAATAGGGAGCCACCAAAGTGTTGCCAGCCAGGAAAGATAAGATCAAATATGCTGGTAGGTCTGGGGCTCAGAGAATTGTGAACAGTAGCAGGCAGCTTACCTGGGACACAGATGACTTTTGCTCAACAAACAGTGGCCTCATCCTACCTCCCCAGGGTACCTCCAGTAATTCCCTATGGTAGTATTTTCCAGAATGGGGCACGACTATCACCGGGGGCTCTAGGGATAATTTTAGTGGCATATAACCAAATATTTTTCAAAGATTAACATATTTATTTCAATGGGGATTCAAAAATAAAACTTGCATTCTAACCACCGCCCCCCAAAAAAGAAGTCAATGTCATGAAAATAAAATGCATGTGGGTATGGTGTGAGGAGACAGGTCTAGATTAGGAGCCTTAAGAAACATAACAACCAAATAAAATATGTTTGAATTAACCATCTTTAAAAGTCATTTGGGAGGAGGGGGAAATGGAGAGTTATTCTTAAAGGGTGTAGAGTTTGTTCGGCATAACGAAAAGGTTCTGGAAATAGTGGTGGTGATTATACAATATTGTGACTAGACAATGCCACTGAACTGGACACTTAAAATGGAAAATTTTACAATATGCATATTTTACCACATGTTTTTTAAAAAGAGATTATGGGAACAAGTAGGGAATATTTGAATGTGGGTGGATATTACATGCTATTGAGAAATTGTAGGAATCATGTAAAGTGTGAGAATGGAATTGTATTTACCTGATAAAGATGTGTTTATTATTTAGAGATAAATGTTGAAATATTTAGGGGGGAAACATATATGTTTCTGTAACTTGCTTTAAATTACTTCAGCAAAAAAAAAAGAAGAAAAAGGAAAAATGGAGAATATATGGAAAAATTTTAGCAATTGTTTGATCTAGATGGTAGATATTGGATGTTCATTATACTGATTATTCTGATTCTTTCTATGTATTAGAATTTTGCAAAGGAGAAGGGAATCATGAACAAATCACCTT